GGCATCGTAACTCGGAGACCTTTAGTTAGTGTCATTTTTTTCGCGATATGTTTCGGTATAATTGAATCATGTTATCATAGTGAAATGCGTGTAACCAATTGCTGTTATGCACATTAACTATAATTGATATAATTGAATTTTAATTCTATGCGTATCATAGGTATTACAACTCATAAATCGACCACAGGCACATCCAAAAACTAATGGTATCGAAGGTTAGAATGCGTTGATTTCTATAACATTAAAGATCTCCAGAATAATCCTGCATTCTTTAATATCGGTCAATAGAATCGGAAACATCCGGAAAGCCAAAAACTGAATCCAATAAACCAAAAGTTGAAGATGTTAGTGATGAATCAGAAGAATGGGGTGAATTTTTGCACATTCCCGGTGAAAAATTCACAGACTTTAATAAGATCCGCGAAGAAATTGTTAAAGAAACTGAAGCAAAAACAGGAAAGAACGCTGGTCAGTTGCTTTTCTAAAACTTTTACCTTCTTTGATTCTTAAAATTGACCACGCATTGGTTTATATGTAGGTATTTCACCCGCACCTATCAACCTAAGGATATACTCGCCTAATGTTCTCACTTTGACTCTTGTTGACTTACCTGGTCTTACAAAGGCATATAACAATATTTGAAAACGGATTTTCATGTTATATTATGCGTTTTTTAATTTTCGTATTTCTTTCAGGTTCCTGTTGGAGATCAACCAAAGGATATCGAAAAGCAAATTCGAGATATGATTTTAAAATATATCACCAAGCCCAATGCAATTATCCTCGCAGTTACCGCGGCTAACACCGACTTGGCTAATTCCGATGGCTTGAAGTTGGCTCGTGAAGTTGACCCCGAAGGTTATTTCAACATGAATTACTTGACGATTTTCATTTGATTGTATGAAAGATATATTATATCTCTTTATTATTGATATTATTTTATTTTAGGATCACGTACAATTGGTGTCCTTACAAAAATTGACCTTATGTAAGTCATTTAACATATTCAAGTTCAGAAAAAAAAAAACGTCGCGTTAAATGATGTTACCACAAATAGGGATCAAGGAACAGATGTGGTAGATATTTTAGCGGGGCGCATTATTCCTTTAAGGCTAGGTAAATGCACCATTGTTTTTTAAAGTTTTCCATATATATATACTTTTATTTAAATTCCTACTTATAGGATATGTACCCGTGGTTAACCGTGGACAAAAGGACATTGACAGTAAAAAAGCAATTGCTGATGCGCTTGACAAAGAAAGTCAGTTCTTTGAAAATCATCCATCTTACAAGAGTAAAGCGCAATACTGTGGTACACCGTTCCTTGCACGAAAGCTGAATATGGTATAATTTCTGAACTTTGTAATCATAGTATTTCCAACATTGTCAATGCATATTCTTGACTATATACATCATTCATAGATCCTTATGCATCATATTCGTACCACACTCCCTGAAATTAAAGCTAAAATTCAGGCCGTGCTTTCTAAGTATCAGGCTGAATTAATATCACTTGGCGATCCTCTGGATGACGGCAATAATCATGCAAGCATTGTATTAAACATTATTACAGAATTCTGCAACGAATTCCGCACTATTGTTGACGGTAATTCAAATGAACTTTCTTCATTTGAATTGTCTGGTGGTGCTCGAATTAGCTTTGTTTTTCACGAAGTGTTTTCAAATGGAGTAAAGTCAATAGACCCATTTGATCAAGTGAAGGACGTGGATATTCGAACAATTTTATACAATTCTTCGGTGAATATTTCGTCTATATGCTTGTACTTATTACATTTATTTGGTCTAATACATTCTGACGCGTATCTCAGGGGTCATCTCCAGCTCTTTTTGTATCTACCACGGCATTTGAAGTTATTGTTAAGCAACAGGTCAAACGCCTAGAAGAACCTAGTTTAAAATGTGCAACTTTGGTATACGATGAATTGGTTCGCATTCTAACCAATTTGTTACAGAAACCAGTAAGTATGAATACTTTTAGATCATTTTCAATTCAATCGGCTTATTGACTTTATTGACCCTATATAATTTAGCTATTCAAAAGGTTCCCAGGACTTAAGGAAAAATTTTATCTAGTAGTTGTCAGTTTCTTTAAGAAAGCCATGACGCCCACAAATAAACTTGTACAGGATCTTGTCAAGTAAGAAGATAATAATCGGAATAAATAATCTTCAGTATGCAACATTGACCAAACCTCATTTTTTGTGTCAAAATAGTATGGAATCATGTTACATCAATACCGGTCACCCTGACTTTTTGAATGGTCACAAGGCCATGACTATTATCAACGATAAGATTAACCCACCAAAGCCTGCTAACCCTTCAGATCCAAAAGCGAATCGTGCGAGTATTACCTCTTTGGTTAGCTCTAACCCGCTACTCGATTCCGAGGGTAGTAATACTGGATTTTTTGGAAGTTTCTTCTCTAGTAATAAAAAAAAGAAGCCCGGCGTTATGGAACCGGTACAGTATATCACACATATGGTATAGAAACATTTTCTGAATGATTACTGATTTTTATGTCTATCAAATTGAAGCCACCACCAGTATTAAAAGCATCTGGGAATTTGTCTGAACGTGAATATATGGAGACTGAAGTGATAAGTGAGTAAATTTAATCAATTTGAATAATGTCTACACTGTATATTTAGATACTAATGATGTTTTTTAATACGTAGAATTACTTATTCAATCATATTTCAATATTGTGAAAAGGACAATTATCGATATGGTTCCTAAAGCAATTATGCTGAATCTTGTATCACATGCTAAAGAAGAACTTCAACGAGAATTGTTACAAGAACTGTACAAAGCTGACGTCTTGGATGAATTACTAAAGGAAAGTGAATATACTCAACAAAGACGAAAGGAATGCAAAAAGATGATTGAATGCACAGAAAGAATCTCACTAGCGTATTAGTGTATTATCACGACTCAACTGATTC